GTAGATAAATAAGATATGATATAAAAAATTATTTTGGATTATATGCGTGTTTCAATATACAAACGGATAACAAAAGTAAAAATAATAAATATATAAGATAAGATCGAGAATTAATAATTTAATAATGTCTACTTTTATTAACAGACTAAGAAGGCAGACTGCACGAATCCGTGCGAGACCAGCGGCGAAGAGATGCATTGTGATGCAAACGCGTACTGTTTACTTATACCGGAAACGAGCGATTTCAAATGCGAATGTAAGCCCGGATACAATGGCACCGGCACCGTATGCACAGACGTGTGTCTAGGCTACTGCGACAACGAGGGCGTCTGTTTGAAAGATTCACGCGGGCAACCCTCGTGCAGATGCAGCGGCAGCTTCACCGGCAAACATTGCACGGAGAAGTCCGAATTCTTCTACATCACTGGCGGCATAGCGGGAGGTGTCATCCTGATAATCATCGTGGTGTTGCTAGTCTGGATGATTTGCGTCAGGTTGGTTATAAATTGATTAATCCTACGATAACGATCGTATCTGCAATGTTTTTTGATTCGGTTATCGGTAAACAATTTTTTCGCGATATTATGTTTAGATGTAAACCGTAAATTGTAAGTAGTTTTTTTTTTTTTATTCAATAACGAGATATGAGTAATATCTTTCTTCTTCACAGGGCCTCTCGAAAGAAGGAACCGAAGAAGATGCTTACCCCGGCGACCGACCAAAACGGCTCCCAAGTAAACTTCTATTATGGTGCGCCAACGCCATACGCCGAATCGATAGCGCCGTCACATCACAGCACGTATGCTCATTATTATGACGACGAAGAGGACGGTTGGGAAATGCCCAATTTCTACAATGAAACTTATATGAAAGGTAAACAATGTATATTATGATCTGTTTACATGAAATCAAGAATTTAATCGCCTCGACGACGTAATATCGATACGAATTTAATATAATATACAACAAATATTTATGAGGCGATTTACAATCATAATCGTAATGTGATTTATTAATCTTTACAGAGAGTCTGCACAACGGCGGCAAAATGAATAGTCTTGCTCGATCGAACGCCAGTATTTACGGCACGAAAGACGATCTTTACGACAGACTGAAGCGTCACGCGTATACTGGTAAAAAAGGTACAATCCCGCAACTATCCTCGTAATCAATACTAATCAACGCCGGCTCATCATGCGGCCGTTTCGAAAATTACTGCCAACAGAATTGGACGCTTTGCGCTTGCGCGACCGGCTAGTTATTTATTAATTAATTTAAGTCCACGTGCTTCCCTCGTCCGCTTTACGTTTATTATACCATCATTAGAACACGTAACAAATTTCCACTTGATTACAAATTGAACGGATTGAAAACAACTCGATTAATTGAACAGATTGAAAATCAACAAAGTGCGCTATCTCAAAAATGTCTTGGTTGCGTGCGGCGCAGCAAATAACATTACGAAATATCCATTTTGCAGATAAGAGCGACAGCGACAGCGAAGGCCAGTGACCGGGTAGAACAATGACTTTCATGCCAACGTAGAGTACGAAAAAGCGGGAGATATCGGTGTAATCAGACGAGACGACGACGGTATCTCATCCTTCGTGCGACGTCGTCGTCGTTGCTCCTCCGACCGATCGACGGATCTTGTTATTTATTGCATTACCATTTTGTACAACGTGACGCGAGATCCGTGATCGTGCTGATCGCGCGACTCGGACTCTGTAGGAGAGAGAGAGAGAGAGAGAGAGAGAGAGAGAGAGAGAGAGAGAGAGAGAGAGAAGAAGAGACGACGA